ACCTTCGTTGGGAGATATTACTTCTCCGTATCAGGTATAATCCTCTCCCACTCCTTTTGGTTCAGATCTGGTTCAGTTTATGGTTCAAGATTGATCATTGAAAATATGATTTTCTAAATAAGGAATACGATTCCCAGTTGAAGGGAGAGAAAAAATTTTTTGAAATTCGCCCCTTATTCCGCAATCTTTGGGCGTCCATAGGATGGATCTCTCATTCCTTCACTACCCTCTATAGATTCTGAGTAAGAGCAAATATTTTTTTTGACTTTGTTGGTTTCATTCCTGTCTTCTTCTCTTTAATATAGGAAGGGGAACCACACACGTGGTTTAAATCATTATTAAGGGCCTCTTCCATTTTGTGTTCACTTTTGCTCAAGCAGTTAACCAATTCTCTAATGACAAGAAGTGCCTCCTTGTAACTCACCACCCTACTACTATTATTATTGTTTAGGTCGCATTCTGATTCATGCATTGATTTCGCTACGTTACTTTTTTTGCATGGACCTAACGGTCTATTCCTAGGAAGATGAGAAGTCATGGACTTATTTGAGAACGCATCTACAATTCCAAATGGGCCTGTCTCACCCTTGTGATAATTCTTTTGTTGTTTTCCACCTTCTCTTTCACCTGAGGGATCCATTGAGATAATCTACTCATAATCCAAGAGATCAATGTGATCCCCAAGATTAATTGAGAGAGAAATAAGAAGACCGGAACTAAAAGTCATTAGACACCTCCTAACGCCGAGAAGGAACAAGTACTGAAAGAAAAAACTAAAGGAAGAAGAAGAAGTCGAAAGAAAGTAAACAGAGACATAATGGTTACTTCCCTTTAGACATGTTGTCATCACTTCCCTTCAATATCGCATCGTATCCACATCGCACCACATTGCATCCTTCAATACTAAAACCTAAGACCATATCTGCTCCTAACAACGCATTATTTTTATTTTAGGCTACATTTGGCATTCCTTATTTTAGGCTTCGAACCTATCTTTTACAACCTACAGAGATGCAATTTTAAGAGATGTATTGTAAAAGATCACATCAGCACCATGCACCCCACATACACCCATATGGACAATTGCACATATTAGTGTGCACGTGCATGGGGAAAATACTTGTCTTTGGTAGATGTTCCCAATAGGGATGCAAACGGACTGGACCAGATTCGAATCAGGGTCCAAATATGATCTGACACTATTAATTGATATCCAATTCGAAGATCTAACCTGATAAAGATGGATTTGAATTCAAATCCTAGAGAAGTCACCCCAACTGCCATACGCTTGCCTCTGGAACTCATCCTAGCAAGGATCCGATCATGGATGAGTAACCCCCTACAAGATGTTGACCACCTCAATTTGAGAAGTACGATGGCACCTTAAACCCCACAAATCAACTAGAAGGATTTAAGGCCACAATCCTCCTACATGGGACCTTAGAAGCCTTAATGTGCACAGCCTTCACTTTCACCCTACAAAGAGTTGCTTGGCAGTGGTACTCCGCACTGTCACCCTGATCTATGGCCACTTAGAACCAGTTTGAAGAAAAGTTCCTTGAACAATTCACCAACAACTAACGATACTAGAAGATATCGGCCAACCTCATGTAGATCAAATAGAAAGATAGGGAGTCCCTAAGGGAGTACTTGGCAAGGTTCAACGCCTAGTTTATTCAAGTCTAGAACTTGAACCAGTCTATGGTCGTATCCGCCTTGATGAATAGCTCACATTCCTCTCACTTCAATTTCTCATTGTAGAAGAAGGCCCCTACCGACATGACTAAACTCTTAGCACACACACAAAAATACATCAACGCTAAGGAAGCATAGATGCAACACTAGAAAGATAAGGAGGACTAATGTAATCTGAAGCGTAAAGACATAGATGATAACCGAGCTGACCACAATTGGAAGAGATTGGACTGCCATAGATATCGTTGATCGAGGACTCTACCACTGACCTTCAAAAACTTCACGCCCCTCAATGCTACGTGAACCGAGGAGCTTATACAAATTTGTGACCACCATTTTATTTGATGGTCGAAGAAGATGAAGTCCCAAGGCAACAAGAGAAGCTAAGACAAATAATGTAAATTCCACAAAGATGACAGTCACAACACGTAGAGCTGCAAAGACTTCCACAATTACATAGAAAACCTTGTTTGATCCTCTAACACCTTGTAGAGATAACCTTGGCCGCAATGATGTGCCTAACAATTGAGACCCTTTAGTTGGAGTCATCGGCGTCATCTTTGGTGGAATGACTTTAGGGGGAGAGAGCTTCTCAGCATGGAAGGCCTACATTGTCTAAGGACTTATCTCCCTTTTGGCTGCATTTGGAAACGATGCAAATAAGTGTGAATGCAAATATATAGTGTAAAGTGACCCATATAAATTACAAAGTTGGGTTAGCTTTGCATTGACAAATTTATATTCTTACCAAATAGACTTTTAGCTGTAATGGATGCAAACACGAATTCCAATAAAGCATATGCATTTTTTTTTATCAAAAGCCATGGTTTTCAAAACCGGACTGGACCGAACTAGACGGTCGGACTGGAAAAACTAGGAACCGGTTCCGATTTTCCCCAAAATTAGATTTTTTTCCATAAAACGTTAATTTGGTCAGCAAACCGTTGACCCAGGCAGTTGAACCGTTCGAATCATTCAACGGTTTTGACCGTTTTTTATTTTTTTTTGTCAAAACGGGCCATCCATTCGATTCGAACGATCAGACCGTTCTACCCGGGAACCGGACCCCTGACCGGTTCGTTGTCCAGGCCGGTTTTAAAAACCTTGTCAAAAGCCCACTTGAATGTAAATTTACTTCTTTTTTATTGATGTACTTTATATATTATTATCAATGTAAATATGTATTAGAAAATGTATTTTCTGTCATTTGTCAATGCATAAATGTAATGTTGCCAATGTTGCCAAACACAGGCAAAAGTGAACTAGAGTGCAAATTTCCCCTGAATCAGGATTTACACTCCATTTGCATCGTTTCCAAAGACAGCGTTGTTGTTAAAATTTCTCTTATAAACATTAAGTTTTTAATTGCAAAAAGGAGATGTTCCTTAAAATAAGGAATGTCAAATGCATCCTTAGCTTGGAGGTGAACAGAGAGATACTTCAACTTCACTAAAAATTTAAATTGTATCCATCAATAAAGTTGGTAAAGTTGGGGGTTTTACTAAGTGGGTGCTCTATGACATGATGTTTTTATTTTCACTTGTTTTTTAAATGGTTAAATCAACAAAAAATAAAAAACATCTTGTTGAATTATTTGTTTTGAAAGGCAAAAGAAAATTGGTTTTATTTCAAAAAACAATATTTAGGTTCTTAAAACCGTCAAAATAATGGTTTTTAAAACAAAACAAATTTTATAATTTAGAAATTATATAATTTATGAAACATGAAATTAAATAACCAGATAAAAACTTGTTCTTACCCATAGAACACATTTTTTTTTTTGTTTCAATTTGGAAACAAAAATACACTAAAAAAGAACATATTTTCTGTGTTTCTGTTGAAAAGAACCAATTGATTTTGTTTTGTTTTTGGAACTGACACAAGAAAAAACAATTGGCAACGGAAAATACCAGGTTTTTATATAAGTAATTTTCAATTAATTTTATTCATGAATTATAATATCAGAATCCCTTTTTAGTTTTTGATCATTATATTTATACTGTTCAAACGAATCAAATTTGGAGCTACCCATATCCGGTTCGGTTTGATCGGTTTGCAGCCCAGCTCGGCCTAGATCCCCAAAATAGAATTTTTATGTTTATATTTTGTGAAATGCTGGGATATTGAGGGGGGATGCACCGTCGGAGATGCCTGTTAAGATTCCTCTTGTATTTATTTTCTCTTGTGACCAACGAAAATGAAAAAAAGAGATATTCTAGAATTAATTTGAAAAAAAAGCAGAAAAGGGTTGTATAAAATTGAACAAAATGTTTTCAAAGGAAAGATTTCTCATTTCTCATTTCCTCCAACTCTTTTACAGTTGATAACATATATTTACAGATGGGTGTGCTAACTGGGCTTAAAAATTACAAATGGGCTGCAAATTACGCAGTAGGCCCAGTGCCCACTTAATAGCAAAATTGATTGGTCGGATGATCAAAGGATTAGGATTGCCATCCATAGACTTGATCGACTATAGTGAACCGTTTAAACGAGAGGTGAGATCAAGGAATAAGTCTTCTCTGCAAGGGATCGTGAGACCACCCATTGGATGATGAAACCCAAACTCTTCTTCAGCTCGACGTAACAAATCTTGGAAGGAAGGATGGTTCAAGTAGGATAGTGGAACCACAAACCGCTTCTTTTGGGTCTCGCCAACGTAGACGGCGAGGTGACCTTTCGGCACATCTCTAGTGGCCGAATCCAATCGTTTCGTGTTCAAAGGAGACCGTCGGCCGGTGAGCATTCCGGGCAACTGGAAACCCATGGTTTCTATATATGCACTTCTACTATCTCTTGATGAAAGACAAGAAGGCTAAGGAAGAGGCTGAGAGGGCTGGTTGTGCTTTGTTGTAATTTGTGAAAGACTTCAGTGATGAGATGGCTAGCTGGTCTCCTTGGTTTGTATATATAGACTAGAGAGAGAGAGAGAGAGAGAGGAACTGAGTACATGGGCAGCCCTCTCTGAGTGTCTCACTCTTGGTTTGGGCATGTTGAGAGACATGCTTCATGAAGGCTCACATGGTTTGCTTTGGAAGCTCAGTATTAGGATCTCCGGACGGGTTGCATTGTACTACTTGTAGCCTGTCCCACCATTGCAGAAACAGTGGAGTAGGTAGGGGAAGGTCCCCCCCATTCATTGATTAATTTGGGTTACAACTTACAAAGTGGTGGGCTCATTTCATTGGGTTAATGAAGAGATATTTGTGACAAATGAAGCTAACTGCTTCTATCTTGTCTTCACCCAGTCTGTCAAACTCAACAATTGATATATTGTTCAAAAGGACTTCGTGTTCCTTTTACTTGGTGAGAAGAGTATATACAATCCATGTGCTTCTCCAATTTGTGCTTGTACTGTACCAACCCTACTCTGGTCATCATAGTTGAAGACCTGATCAGGTCTGGGGGCCCATTACAATTTGGTAAGGGAACAAACCCAGCCAGACTTTTCCATTTTGTAGAGGCACTGAATCTAACCCAGTTTGGTCATTGTAAGGGTGGTAGAAGGAAGCCCTAATAATGAAGCACTATTTCAGAAGGGAGGGAAAAATCTACTCCTATATTTTGTTGAGTAAGTTGATCAATCGGGTAATTGATCGAATTTTCATATTGGTACCGTAATTTTCTTAGATAACTCTTGGCCGGGAATCATTGGAACCGGGTAAACAAATTATCCAAGTACCAAAAAATGAACCAGGCCGGCCTTAGAATCATTGAGCCAATTTTAATGTATGATTGGTCGTTGCGGGGAGCCCATTTGTCTGATTTATATGAACAGGGTCTCTTAAAAGGACATGAGGACGCGAACAAGCTTTGTTGGAGGTACAGCATGAAGCCTGAAGGCAATTTGCTGAAACACCTAATGGTTTACAAGAATTCGGAGGGCGCCATATGAAACCAGGGATGGAGTGCCCACAGTTTTTTGTTCTCAACTTCATTTAATTTGCTTTGAATTTGGTTTGCATTTCTTTCTTGATATTAACAAGGCTTGGAAGGATGCTTAAGAGAGTCCGGATCAACTCCTTGCACTCATCTCACAGCATGTCCTGGCCGCACATTGTGAACATCTTCTCTATTTGTATTTATTATTCATAGAGAGATATTCCCAATATAGGGTGGGAAATGGGTGTGAGTCTAGTGTGAAATGTTCCCGATATACAGTTAAGATATACTGTGGGGCGTAGATGTAAATTTACATTTTTACGGATTAAAAAAACAAATAAATAGCACACATTTAGGCTGTACATTGTGTGGTTTGGAAGCCCTCTTCCTTTCCCTACCTTTTCTTTCAAACCAAACATAATCTTAGATTAAAAAGAAAAGTTCGATTAGATTTTAATGCTGCCAAAGAAGATTTTAATTTAGATACTGATGTAAATATTTCATAATTGTGGGGATAATGTTGCACCTTGAACTTGCTGGCAAATGGGCTGCAATGTAACAACATCATTGTTGCTAAGTACAAATTAAAACATGGACCAACCAATGAATGAGTCCTATAGCACAATGAAGATCAATTATATAAAATATATAAATAAATAAGAATAAAATCAGGTGATTCCGCTACTATATTCAGTTAGACAATGCAAAACTCTGATACATCATCAAACATTCCTCAGCCCAACATGTTCTCACGATAGGATTTCTCAGATGCAAGGCTTAGGACCATGTCATGCAGAGGTTAAAACACTAGTTCTGGCCAATCAATTTTTATCATATATGTATGAATCTTTATGCCAAAAATCTAATTCACATGTTTTCTTTGAATCTGGATTAATTTGCTCCTCACAGAATGCGCCTCACACCAACTTTATAGCATTTTCAGCCATGTGAGACATCTCCCTTTTTATGGGGAGATGTTTTCAATGCATAGCTGTGATGTGATATGAGTAGGCATGTAAATGGTATTCAAAAATCCAAATTCAAATCTGAGATTCGGCATAATCGAATCGAATTTGGATATTTCATCGAATTCGAACACTAATTTTTTATCAATTAAATTATCAAATCAAATTCGGATATGCAATGATCTCTCTCTCTCTCTCTCTCTATATATATATATATAAAGAAGATTAAAAAAGTAAATAAACAATTCTCGATTCTCGAATCTCATTGAATCAAATGAGTAGAAACTAATGAACATTTGAACCTCTCCTCTAGTCTCCATCTCCTTTCAAATCCTAACCCTAACCCTCCCTTCACCGTCGTCGCCCGAGCAACCACCTTAATTGGCCACATCAACGATTTGGCAGTCGACAGTCGATAGTCGAATACCTGTTAGCGACCACTGCCCCTTATCCTCTGCCTCTCCTTAGTTCTCTCTCATCTCTCATCTTCTCCTCTATCTCTCATATTTCGAGTCTCGACTCAGCATCGTCGCTGCCCAAGCAACCACCATCACCAACAACAATGCCAGTGATAGCGGTCGAGCACCGGTGACCGGCCACTACCATCTCCTTCACCGCTGCTCAATGCCTCAAGGCCCTCAACCCAAGTTGATACTGCAAGAGTGCCATTGTGCCAACAATCAAGTTATCGGTCGAATTCGAATCAAATTAAATTCAAATCGAAATACTTGATACCCGTCGAATATCGAATCGAATTCGAATATTATTGTTCATAATCGATTTCAAATTCGAATCTAACCTGATTCGATTCGAATTTGATCCGTTTACAGGCCTAGCTATGAGATTGGCCTAAGAGCAAATTCGATATCATTTTCTTTATCTCATTCTACTAATTTCTCTGCCTTCCTCTCTTATATATTGAACGTGCCACTTAATTAGTCTTAATAAAGCAAATAAAAAAACAAGAATATAAATACAAGTAAATTAGAGTAAAGTTGTGTGATTTGAATGGTATCGATCTATCTCATTTGTATGTCTAGGTCCAGTACCTGTATCCACAATATGGTTTTTGAAAATTGGATTGGACCGAATGGTTGTACTGGTTGACCTGGAACTGTCCACGCAACCGGTCCATTTTACGTTTAACCCGGAATTTGGCCAAAATTGTTAATTTGATTAATAATCCATTGACCCGAACAATCAAACCATCAATCCATTTGACCCATTGGCGAACGACTTCGATTCCTGATCGATCGCTTTTTAAAACCTTGGTACACAGGCACAAACAATTAAATTCACAAACCAGACGGTTAAAATTAAAGCTATCCGGTTGTACTGTTTGGTAGGTAAATTCTTTGTATTTTTTGGCGAGATCCATTGATTGTCTGGTTCCTACTCTCTATACATGGCACATGTTTTCCACAGAGGGGAGCGTACACTACTGTCATACATGATCCCCATTTAACCCATACGGCCATGACCCTACCTTGTTCTGCTGTTTCTCTCCACACTAGGAGAGAAAGAGATTATTAGATTTCTCTCTCTCTCTGGGCTGGTGCATGCAAATGCAATTAAAGACCTAAAGACCAAGACTACTGTTAAGGCTGTTGGACCAGAGTACTCTGCAGTAGACGGAAAACACAAACAGCCAACCCTGCAGCCCATGTGGTGGTGCCGGTCCTTTCGACTGTTGCTCAGTTTGGCTGTTGAATCTCACCAAGGCATAGCGGCCATGCCAGTTCGTGTGCTGTAGGAATCTTGACGGCATATTTATCACGTTAGATTGGGTTAATAAATAATAATAGAAGGTCCACGATCAAGGACGGAGTGTACCGCGGAAGATAGATCTGGGCTATAAAGATGTAGTATAAGCCAGTTACAGAGAGTGCAAAAGAGTGGCGGACGCCTTAGCTAGCCAATTATGCGTGTGACATACTCGATGTTTTTCCCTAGTGACACCCTTCTTCATGATTCAGTTATTAATAAGTGCTTAATTAACGGAAGACAGGATGAGAATCCCATATTGATTTTTGATTCAACTGGACCTAACTTTTTCTATTTATTTATTTATATTTTTCAGTCTATCCGTTTATTCTAGCCCGTTTGGTGCGTTTTTTCGCACGGTCTTTTGGCTGTTTACAAGTCGGGAAGACTGAAAATCGGTCTATTTTCATTTGGCATGCAGAAGATCTAATCGCCAAAGACGGGATGCCGAAAAGACACGAGAAGCCCATTTTGGGCTGATTTCGAGAAGCTCCAAATGAAGCTTCTAGGGTCTTTTGCGTTTTAATCTTGTGCAAAAAGATGCAAAATGACACATGGAAAGACGCACATCTGCCAAACGGTTTTTAGGCTGCCTAGATCTTATGTCAAAAGCTCATTACGTCTTTTAATTGTCAGAGCTACAAGAAGATCTTCTCAAAAAGACTTGCCAAACGAGCCCTCTATCAATGGAAATATAAATATGTAGAATGTATTTTGGTTCATACAAATGCAAAGTTGGTCTAGTTTTGTATTGACAAATTTACTTTTTTGTCAACCAATTTTTAGTTGTAGATGCAAACACGAATCTCAAGATTGAAATATGCCTTTCTAACATTGATCAACTTTGATTGCAACGTTTGCTCTCATCTTGGATGCAAAATATGCCCTGAAATTTCTGCAGAAAGTTGTTGATTTCAGTACATCTATATAAATGTATATTGTATTCTTACCAAACACCATCTATACTGAACCAAAGTGTATATATACACCTTAACTTGCATTTGTACTCTTTCCAAACAGAACCTTAGGATCAGTTTGGAAGGAGAACAAATACAAATACTTAGAGTGCAAAACTTTGTATTTTGTATTATTTTGTATGTATTTGCACAACATAAATACAAATTGAACCTTATAAGCTCAGTTACAAAATAGTAAAAATATAAATATATATATATATATATAATACAAAACCTTGTATATTCTATTTCTCAACCTTGTATTTGCATTGTACATACTTATAATTTGTATTCTCCCAATGGCTCAGTTTGGAAGGAGTACAAATACAAATATGTAGATTGAAAAACCTTGTATATTCTATTTCTCAACCTTGTATTTGCATTGTACATACTTATAATTTGTACTCTCCCAATGGCTCAGTTTGGAAGGAGTATAAATACAAAAATGTAAATTGCAAAACCTTGTATTTTGTATGTAGTTGTATTGTACATATTTGATTTGTACTTATTGTAAAAAACCCAAAATAGTAGATTCGAATGACACTCAAAAATGAAAAGAAAATAGAGATAAAGAGAAACAAGCAAAGATGATACACAGATTTACATGGTTCATCTTATAGTCTATGTCCACTGGTGGAGTAAAATCTACTATGTAATCTGTAATGGAGAAGAATATAGAGTTGTGCACTCATAACCTCACTTATAGAAAACTCTAAACCCCACCCAAAGTCTCACCTTTCGGGTTTTTCTCAATTTAATTCGGAGTGGGTCGCAACAAAGAATTATGGCTTAACCATAACAATACTCCTCCTTGAAGTGAGCCTTTATTGAAATATTTGATGGCCACCCTCCACTGTAAGTAAACTTTTGGGGAAAAAATTAGACTATACCTGTCAAAAACCCCCACTCTACACACCAGTGCCAGCCGGTGAATTGGCATCAATTCCGAGCTGGCACCCACCCCAACTGTACTTTGGGCCTAGAAGTTCTGACATTGGGCTAAACCGTCATTCTTCCTATATATATATATATATAATTGAGCTATAATTAAACAGAAAGGACATATAGTATGATTGGGCTATAAGTCTATAACTAGATTTGAAAATCTAATTTGAATTTGAAATCATCTCTTTAGGATTTGATTCAGATTTTAATAGAATTGTAAAACGGGCCATGCCGCTCGTGGCACGGCATGGCCTGACACGACAAAGTGTGGGTCGTGCCGGGCCGAGGCTTTTATGTCCACGGGCTGGCACAACCTAGCCTGCAACACGGCCCACCCGAGAAACAAATGGTTGGGTACCCCTAACCCCTCCCAATAACTAGTTTCAGCTTTTATTTTTTATTTTTTATAAAAATACCCCTCAATAGCTATATAACAGCTAGTTTGGTGGGGGCATTTAGGTAAAGTGATACATAACTTTATAATAACCAAAATACCCCTCTCAACAACTAAAAAATGATTAATTTTTAGGGTATTTTGGGCAATTGAATTATCTTCAATTCTTATAAAGAACCCTATCCTCCACAACAGTCCACCATTCTCATCACACTAATTCAACAATTCTCTTCTCAATTCTCGTACAATTGTACTCTCTCAGTCTCTCATCTCAATTCTCATACACACTATACACTCATACTGTCATACACTTAGGTAGTTAGGCACTTAGCAATTTATTTAGCCATTTAGGAGGCTTTGAGAGGCTTCAACCGTTGAAATCAAGTTGAGATTTTGAATTGGTAATCCGACCATCTGGGTAAGTCAGTAAGTGCAACTAAATTAATTTTCGTTTTTTAGAATTAAAAAAATGGCCGATTCCTCCTCCTAAAACCAATTCCACAATAGTAAGTTCAATAGCCCAATTTGGAAAATATTTAAAATAGAGGAGTTTGAGGGGAAGGAAAAAAGAGTCATTTGCTAAAAATGTAGGATTAATTTTAGCTTCAGTAGCAAGGGTGGTACTGGGCCTACTGGCCACTTGGCCAAACATTTGCTCTTCCATGAGAAACAAGCAAAAGACATTTACTTTAAAGATTTGTTGGATGTTGAGGATAAATTACAAGACAAAGAAGGGCATGATACTACTGCATCTGATGAAGCAGATGATTAAAGTCAAGGAGATTGAGTAATTTTTTCAACAATGTAACATTTTATTTTCAAATTGTATTTTTTTTTATATTTTAAATAAAATAAAATTCCTATTTTTTCCAATTTATTGTCCATTTTGTATTTTGGTAAGTATTTTATTTTATTTCTTTTTAGATTTTTAATTTTTCAATTTGTTCCCAAATCCCAAAGCGTGTAAAGCCGCAAAGCCCAAAGGAAAGTTAGCAAAACAAAAAAAAAATAGTCTAGGCCTTTCTGGCCTGGTTCGGCCCAAGCCTAAGGCTTGCCTTGTGGCCCAGGCCCACGGCATGGTCTGCAACCTGCCTAGCCCAGGCCCGTTGCACGGCATGGGACCGCATAGGCTTAGATTGAGCCCTCAAATTATCCCAGGGGAGGGGGGCACGACCTAGGACAGCCCATGGGCCAGTATCGCACAACCTGCACTTTGCATGGGCCGCACGCGGGCCATGCCCGTTTGACAACTCTAGATTCTAATAAGATTTAAATGAGGTTAAATTTGCGTGTGATCTTATTATTAATTGGATGCTAGTCCAGATTTTTAATAAAATTAGTACAGATCCTGTATTACCAGGAGAAGGGGTGTCAATTGGATTGGATTTGGTCCAATCCAATCCTGTCCAATATGAGTCCATTACAGATGGACTAGGTCCAATCCAATGATTACTTTGGACCATTTTGAATTGGTTTAATTCAATGTCTGAACCGTCTAATATGTTCAAATTTATCTTAATTGAGATTGGTTCCAATCCAAACCTGATCCATTGACACTTGTATTCTTTTCTTCTAAATATTGATTCAATCCAACCCAATGCAATATAAATCTATTATGGATGGGCCAGATCCAATCCAATAAATATTTTGGACTATTAAGTCTGGACTGGTCCAATTCAATATATCTTATTGATCCATCCAAATTGATTTTAATTTGGACGATGTCCAACCCAAAAACAGTCAATTGACACCTTTAAGTAACCAGGAGATCCAGAATATTATGCGCAATGGAGTTGGGTTGCTCCAATCTAACCCCGGACTATGTAGAGGCCGAAGCTGATGCCAACCAAATTCAGTCTCTTTGTTATAGGAACCAAAATATCTAAAAAAAATCACCATGGCAACACCATGTAGTGGAAATATAATTCCTCGTCTGTTTGTAACTAGTGTTACTATGTATAAGCACCAAAGTGACAGGTAGGTGGGTTAGTTGGCTTCTATCCCTCTCTGTAACAAGTAAGAAGAATGAATCATAGCATACATGATTTCTATCCACAAATTGAGATTGTTGTCAACAAAATGTCTCCTAAACAACACAAACATTCTGTGCAAAGCTGTGTGCGGTGATTCATCTCTCTAATAATGCATGCCGAGCAGGACAATCCCAGTTGTTCCGATTCTGAAAACCCAATTGGTTGCGGTCGGCTGCATGAATAGTACACAATCCATTTGATGAAGAGACGCGCGCATGATAGGCTAGCTAGTCTCCTCACAATAAGTCGCAAACAATCCGTTTGAAAAAATTCTCCACCCATACTGCCTCCTATATATATGTGTGCGTAGATGCCCACTTCTACGCATTCAGTCACCTAGCTACAGTTGAATTAAAGCTTTTAGTTATATATCTTGTTACATCAAACGTTTTTGAGCTTTTCTCGTTTTAGCAAATATATATCTGTGATTTCTTTTGTTTTAGGTCGCTGCTTTCTCTATCAAAGAGATGGGTATTCAGTTGCCTGGAATGGTTCATGCCAAGCAGCTTCTACAAGGCTTGAGAAGGAGCCAATTTGTGGAGGCCATTGCGTCTGACGTCCCGAAAGGCCACTTCGTCGTTTACGTTGGAGAGTACGAGAAGAAGCGGTACGTAGTGCCCATATCTTACTTGAAGCATCCTTCATTCCAATACCTGCTCAGTTTGGCTGAGGAAGAGTTCGGGTTCGATCACCAGATGGGTGGTCTCACAATTCCATGCAAAGAAGTAGACTTCATTCGTCTCACATCCCAGTTGAATAGATCACGAGAGAGGATGTAAACTGTAGTTTTTTTATATCTTGTACCGATGAAGGACTGAAGACAAAGGAGATGCATTGACCCACTTGGGCTTTGTTAATACATGAACTATCAAATCAGATTTATTCTTAATTTGAACATAGATTATAGATATGAGGAATATGTATTCTTGTTACTGTGGAAAGTCCACAAAGTTAAAAGGTACAAAAAAAAAAACACGTGTGTGTGAACAACAAATTAGTGATAAGTGGCAATACTATTAATAATCTGAGTGGTTTTTTTTGATAGATATTGTGAGTGAAGTTATGTTTCAGATAAAAGTGGACCCAGCAGAGAGAAAGGGGGGATATTTAACCACTTGTGTGCATAGCTTTAGTATAATTGGCAATATTTCAGGCTTCTGAAATGCCACTTCACTAACGCTTCTTATCTTTCCAATCATTCCTATGTATGAAAAATTGATATACTACCAAAAATTGATACATCATAAAAAATGACGAATTATTTAACACACAAATTTGATACATCACCAAAAATTGATTCATCAGTAATCATTAAGGGTAGATTGCTGATATTTATGCTAATAATACTGTTTTTTTCCTAAACTTTCTAACATTGTTGCATCTAGATCCATCCTTCAATTATCTTGAACCAATGAAAGCGGAAAAATTACCAAAACATCCATTTGACCGTTTGAGTGGTAAAGTAGTTTCTAAATTTACCCCTCCCTATTACATTGATATAAAATTCATAAAATTTGTATTTTTTTTTACAATTTCTATAAAGTTTGTTGAATTATATATACCTTTTGTTTTTTTTTTTCACTTTATGTATTTTTTTTCTGTAATTCTGATTTTTTTGGTTGAAATATATTTTTGTGTGTTTTTAGAAAAATATTGTGTGGTGGATACATGGATCAAAGCGGGTGGATTGAGGTGAGTGAGGGTCAGGGTGGGTTTTAACCCACTATTCAAGCTGGATATAAATGACTCTTTTTGGGGCTGTTTGGTTAGTGTAAAGCCACATGTTTTTACTTAAGGGCAATTTTGACATTTAAAAATGTTGAGATGATAATATCAACAATTTTGGTTAACATTCTAACTTTGAATTAGGGAAGGACAATGTTATTAGCATAAAGTAGGGTATTAGGGTATTAAACTGCAATTTACCCTCAAGGCTTTGTTTGGATCGATGTAAAACCTCATCGGTGTAAAAGTACATCGATGAGGTTTTACACCGAACTGTAAAAAGTGATCGTTAACTTTGAAAAGCGTGAATTCAAAAAATGTCGAGTTTTACATCGACATTATTGATGTAGTATTTACATCGATAATTGATATATAACTTTATGCTACATTTGGAAACGATGCAAATAGAGTGTAAATCCTGGTTCAGGGTAAATTTGCACTCTGCTTCACTTTTGGCTGTGTTTTGCAACATTACATTTTTCATTGACAAATGATAGATCAATGCATATTTACATTAATAATAAGATGTAAAAGTACATCAATAAAAAAGAAGTAAATTTGCATTCAAGTGGGCTTTTGATAAAGAAAGGCATATGCTTTATTAGAATTCGTGTTTATATCCATTAATGCTAAAAGTCTGTTTGGTAAGAATGTAAATTTATCGATGCAAAACTAACCCAACTTTGCAATTTATATAAACTGTTTTGCACTCTACATATTTGCATTAACACTTATTTGCATCGTTTCCAAACACAACCTTACATGTGACAAGATTTTACATCAATTTATGACATAGAACTCATTTCCACCCAAATGTTGACAAATCTAAATCAATCTTGATTTATACTTCTTCCAAATGCCAACAAATCTAAATCAGAGTAGAGTTTAATGCCTATCTTGATTTACACTCCTTCTAAACGCCAACATAACTAAATCGACATAAATACTTACATCAATCTTAATTTACCTCGCTTCAAAATGCAAACTAAAGAAAAGGTCTGAAAAAAACCAAGTACCATAATATCATTATGTGATATCTATAGAATATGTTGTACTTTACTATGTGATATCTATAGAATTTGTTGTACTTGGTTGCACTTCATTTTCATGTACTTCCATTCTATTTGTGACAGACATCTACTTTACTATGTGATATCAATAAACACGTTTATAATTTTGAAGATCTTATACTCGACACATGTACTTAGGCCGAATCTCTCTCCCAGTAAGGTTAAACTTGCGACTTAGTCCCTTGTGCTCCTTCTCCACCTCGGAATGGTCTTCTTCTCCACCAACGCCCCCACCATCATTCCCCTCCACCTTGGAAAATCTCTGAAACCTCCACCTCGGANCCTGCCTCTACCTCCACCGCCGATCGCCATGTACACCACTAGTGCCACCTGAAGGAGAGAGCCCTCTCAACTGAAAAACTCTCTATTTTTTCACCGCAGCGGAGCAAGTTCTAGAGAGCCCATTGCATATCGTGGCTTAGTCCCCTGTGCTCCTTCTCCAATTCGGAATGTCTTTGTTGAATTTTAATCTCATAAGAGATTAAATTCAATGGGTTTGATTGGTCAATTACATGAGAAATTGCACCTACACACTTGATTGAAAAATTAGCTTTTCTCTTACAAAACCCAGTTTTGAACTTGTCCCACATTGGAAAATTATAAGCTTTGAACGCGTGCACCCGCGTGGCTCGCGAAGGGCGGCTTTGGTTTTGGTGCGATGCTGACCGTTGATCACCGTTGATGAGATCAATGGTCACGATTTGATCGGGTGTGATCAAGAGGCATAATTCAAAGTTAACAGTCATTAACTATTAACCACTTTTTAAATAGTCACAATGTTTGAAATTGTGACTGTTCAAGGTGCCTTCTCTGAACCAGCACCTACCTTTTCTTCATACCTGTTCATAAACTATTTAAGGAGCATGAATCAAACTTAAAAAATACACATTTTCGAAATCCACTTTCTCTTTCTTTCTCAGTCCGGTCTGTTATAGTCTCACAGAAGGTTTATTTGGAGATTCTTCAACTTTGTTGGTTGCAGATTCTCGCCCAAGGCTCTGTTGTATCTTGGGAACGGATTTGCCTGTAATCCAATAGCAAACTCGGTGAAACTGAGTGGGGAAGCAAGCATTACTTCGATCAAGATGATGAACCAAGATCTTGTTCGACTAGACCAGTTTGATGGAGCAAACTTCAGTCGATGGCAAGACAAGATGATCTTCTTTCTGACCACACTAAAACTATACTATCTACTGGACCCAAATCTGCAATCACTTCCTGAACCCACTGACAAAGACTCAAAAAACTAAAGAAGGAAAGAGCAAAACGAGAAGATGACTCACTTCTGTGCCGATGACACATACTGAATGCCTTATCAAACCGGCTCTACAACTTCTATAAGGAACTTACATCTCCAAAAGAAATCTGGAAGGCCCTGGAATTCAAATACAATATGCAATAAGCAGGTACAAATAAATATCTTATTGCATAATACTTTGACTTCACCATGAACGACCATAAACCCATACTAGAGCAACTTCATTAACTACGGGTGATAGTCAACAAAATTCGATCCCTTGACATCATCATTCCTGAATCTTTTCAAGTGGGAGCAATCATTGCCAAACTTTCACCTCTTGAAAGGATTACAGGAAGAAGATTCTGCACAAGGCTGAAAAACTTACCTTGGAGCAAATTCAGCAACACATTCGTATTGAAGAAGAGTCTCGGAGTAGAGACAGTAGGGATAAGACCCTGGCCGGTATGCTGAACTCTAAGGTCAATTTTGTGGAAAATGGATCGAAGAAGACTAAAACCCTACATTACAAGTAAAGAAGAAGGATGGAAACTTCAAGAAGATCAACAATAATAAAGGATCATACTATGTTTATGGAAAGAAGGGGCATTATGCCCAAGTCTACCGATATTGGAAAGGCGGAACCAAGTCCGCAAATATGGTAGAAGACAATCTAGTGGCCATGATTACTGAATTCAACATGGTAGAATCATCTTCTGGATGGTGGTTTGATTCAGGCATCACAGTCCATGTTCGCAAGGATAAGTCATTGTTTAAGACATATGAAGAAGTGACTGAACTTCACCTCCAGAAGAGGCAGTGTAGAGTTGAACTTCACCTCCGGAAAAACACTGACTCTCCTAAATGTTCTCCATGTTCCTGACATTAGAAAGAACTTGGTCTTAGTAAATCTTATTTGTAAGAGGGGATTCAAAGTTGTCTTTGAATTCGACAAACTAACCCTACCCAAGAATGTGATGTTTGTTGGAAAGGGATATGGTTGTAATGGTATGTTCAAATTAAGTATTAATGAAAGAAAAGTTTTTGCTTATATTGTTGATTCTTTCTCTTTATGGCATGATAGATTAGCACACTTGAATTTTAAATCCATAAAGAACATGAGCAAACTTGGTATAATTGCTTATAGTAACGAATCAACTAAAAAATGTGAGATATGTGTAAAATCTAAAATGGATAAAAAACCTTTCCCTAGTGTTAAGAGAAATTTTCAACTTCTACAACTAATTCATTCTAACATCTGTGAACTCAATGGTGTATTAATTAGAGGAGGTAAGAGATACTTTATAACATTATAGATGACTTTTCTAGGTACACATATGTCTACCTTATGAGAACTAAGGATGAAGCCTTTGACATGTTTAAACTGTATAAGACTGAAGTTGAAAATCAACTAAAAAAGAAAATTAAAATCCTTACAAGTGATAGAGGTGCTGAATACTTTAAAAATGAGTTTAATTCTTTCTATGAAGAATTTGGAATAATACATCAGTGTTTTACTCCCTATACCCCTCAACAGAATGGCCTGGCCGAAAAGAAAAATAGAACACTTACAGAAATGATAAACTGCATGTTGTTAAAAGCTAATGCACCCTTAAACCTGTGGGGGAAAGCACTCCTAACAGCCTACCATTTACATAACAAAATTGTTTTTAGAGTGAATAACAAATGCCCATATGAATTATGGACAAGAAGAAAGCCTAATTTAGTATATCTAAAAGTGTGGGGG